GATGGATGATGGATGGATCATGGATGGATGGATGATGGATGGAATGATGGATGATGAATGGATGATCAGGGATGGATGGATGGATGATGGATGGATGATGGATGGATGGATGGATGGAATCATGGGTGATGGATGGACGATGGATGGAAGGATGCTGGATGGACGATGGATGGCAGGATGATGGATGGAGACGTGCTGCAGCAGGAGGAGAGGCCGCCATGGGTGCGCCAAGCTCCCTGTGTCACCTCTGTCCCCCACAGCCACCATGGGCTGCTGCTGCAGCTCGGACTACGACGAGGACTGGATCGAGAACATCGACATTTGTGAGCACTGCAATTACCCCATCGAGCCCGACGGCAAGCGCCAGGTGAGCGGGGGCGAGGGCCCCAGAACAGCCCCGGGAGTGGCCAAACCCCACGGCCGGGGGCTCACGGACCTCCCGTCCCCTGGCAGAGGCCGATCCGCAACGGCTCCGAGGTGCGAGACCCTCTGGTGTCCTACGAGCCCTCGTCACCTCCGTGCTCCCCCATGCAAGGTGAGGCGTGGCTGTGGCGGGGGGGCGGCTGTGACACCCCCAGAGCGCTCCCTGCCACCCTGTCCCTGCTCCTGTCCCCACAGACAAGCTGGTGGTGGCCCTCTACAACTACGAGCCCAAGCACGACGGGGACCTGGGGATGCGCAAGGGGGAGAAGCTCCGCGTGCTGGAAGAGTGAGGAATTCCGGCGGCGGCCCGGAGCTCCCGGGGGTCCGGGCAGGGCCGGGGGGTCTCACCGCACTGTTCTTGCAGGAGCGGGGAGTGGTGGAAGGCGCAGTCGCTCACCACGGGCCAGGAGGGGCTGATCCCACACAACTTCGTGGCCTTGGTGAACAGCCTGGAGCCCGAGCCGTGAGTAGGGACAGGGGGTGAGGGATCCAGGGATGGGTGGATGGACAAAGGGATGGAGGGATGGAGGGATCCATGGAGGGATCCATGGAGAGATGGATCCAGGGATGGGTGGATGGACAAAGGGATGGAGGGATCCATGGAGAGATGGATCCAGGGATGGGTGGATGGACAAAGGGATGGAGGGATGGAGGCATCCATGGAGGGATCCATGGACAGATGGATGGAGAGATGGATCCAGGGATGGATGGATGGAGGGATGGATGGATGGATGGATGAATCCAGGGATCCATGGATGGATCCATGGATCCATGGAGAGATGGATGGATGGATGGATGGATGGATGGATGAATCCAGGGATCCATGGACAGATGGACAGATGGATGAATGAAGGGATGGACAGAGAGATGGATGGATGGATCCATGAAGGGATGGATGGATGGATCATGGATGGACAGATGGATGGATGATGGGTGGAAGATGGATGATGGATGGATCCAGGGATGGATGGATGGAGGGATGGATGGATCCAGGGATGGATGAATCCAGGGATCCATGGACAGATGGACAGATGGATGAATGAAGGGATGGACAGAGGGATGGATGGATGGATCATGGATGGACAGATGGATGGATGATGGGTGGAAGATGGATGATGGATGGATCCAGGGATGGATGGAAGATGGATGGATCCAGGGATGGATGAAAGGAAGATGGATGGATGGATCCAGGGATAGATGGATGATGGATCCAGGGATGGCTGGATGTGTCCGGCAGGATCTGAGCTCCTGGAAGGAGCCTGGATCATCCCACAAAACCCCAGTCCCAGGGTCCCCTCCTCCCTCCCAGGTGGTTCTTCAAGAACATCAGCCGCAAGGACGCCGAGCGGCAGCTCCTGGCCTCGGGAAACACCCACGGCTCCTTCCTGATCCGCGAGAGCGAGACCTCCAAAGGTGCCACCCGCGCTCCCCCGGGCTCTGGGAGGCTCGGGAGGGCCCGGGGGTCCCACGGGTGTCCCTTGTCGCCAGGCTCGTACTCGCTGTCCGTGCGGGACCTGGACGAGAGCCAGGGGGAGACGGTGAAGCACTACAAGATCCGGAACCTGGACAGCGGCGGCTTCTACATCTCCCCCCGCGCGCCCTTCGGCAGCCTCAGGGAGCTGGTGCAGCACTACATGAGTGCGGGATGGGAACGGGAATGGGGATGGGAATGGGAACGGGAATGGGAGTGGGGCGGGATGGGAACGGGAAT